AGCCGTAGTTAAAACGAAAGGGAAACACACACACACGCCTTCTTTTTCAAGGTAGACAAGCTGACTTCATTCTGGCCAGAGGCGGCCGGGAAGCTGGCAGGCCGCAGGGAGGAGGCCCCGCGGGAATAGAGGGGTGTTATTGATGACTCTGCCAGAAGCTGAGCGAAGCGCTGGTCTCAGACTCTCTGGGGCCTGGCGATCGAATGGTCCTTGTTTTGGGGTCTGGAGCTGGGGCTGCCGACCCGAGGAGTTTGCAGGTGCTGGCTGTGCGGCCCCTCCTGGCTCAGTGGTCCTGCTTCTTCACCCCCATTCCTCCCCCCCACCCCCCAACACACACACAGAGGTTGTCCCACTGTCCTTGGCCTGGTCGGGAGGTACAAAGCCTGGCAGCAATGAGGGACCAAGGGAACAGGCATTCGAGGCTGGCACGGACACTCACTCAATCCCACAGCAGTCCTGGCCAGTGAGGATTAGCCTTCCCATTTGTAAAAGTAGGGAAACTGAGGCATGGGGCCCTTGGGTGGTGCCAGAGCATGCGGCGGGAGGGGACCCGGCCATCCTGAATCGCCTCCACCCTGTGAGAGAGTCACCTTTGCCCCCTGGGAATCCTGCTCCGTTTCTGAGCAAGTCATTCATTTGTTTGTTCATTCGTCCGTTCACTCTCCCACTCAATCACTGCTTGACCTGCTCAGTGAACGTGTACTAAGTGCCTACTGCGTGTCAGGTGCTTCGGCTGTCTCCCGTCCCGGGCTTTTGCGCGGTAGGGTTGAAGTGGGCCAAAGAACGGACGCTCCCTGAGGCCTGGGTGCTCTGCCCTAACCAGCGCTGTTCAGCACAAACACTTCTTGGCACTTCCCTGAGGAAACACCATGCCTCCGCCTCAACTCCCCCATCTGTAGAATGGGTCCTCCGGGTGCATGGGGCCCAGGCAGCTGCAGAGAATCTGCCTGTCTGCCTGTCTGCCTGTGCTGGCCTAGCTTTCCCTGAATTGCCATGCTCCTTTAAAGAGCGAGGTGGGAAACAGAAATGGAGACCCCGAGGCCTGACCTGGGGGATACGAGATGTTTGATCCATTGTTCTTCTTAGGGAGGTTTAGAAAATCTCAGCTCTAGCAACAAGGTTGGAGCCTTTCGGTCAACCGAAAGGGGATCCTTTACAGAGCACCTACTAAGTGCTAGGAGCTCCAGAGGCTTTTCCTGCAGTGCAACAGTTGGCAAGGTAGGGGTGGTCTTCCCATTTTGTAGATGAAAAGACGGAGGCCCAGAAAGGCTCTCCCGTGGCCAGAGTAAGTGACAGCCAGCACTCCGCTTCCAGAAGCCACCAGCTCTTTCTGCTGTCACAGTGGGGATGGCCCCAGTGGACTTCCCAGTCCTCATCTCACCCCCACTCTGCCCAGTCCACCTTCACCACGTCCAGCGAGGAGGGTCCCGCCTCCCGGCCCCTGTGCGCATGGAGGCCCGGTTCTCCTCGCTCTTCTGCGTGCAGAGCGACGGGCTGTGGGAACGGAGTGTATTCACCCTGGGCCTGTCCTCGCCGGTCAGGGAGATGCGGTATCTCTGTGCCCCCTGTCGCCTGCCCTCTCTTGAGTATCTTTTTTTTAAAAATATATTTTATTGATTTTTTACAGAGAGGAAGGGAGAGGGATAGTCAGAAACATCGATGAGAGAGAAACATCGATCAGCTGCCTCCTGCACACCCCCTACTGGGGATGTGCCCGCAACCAAGGTACATGCCCTTGACCGGAATCGAACCTGGGACCCTTCAGTACACAGGCCGACGCTCTATCCACTGAGCCACACCAGTTAGGGCTCTCTTGAGTGTCTTCTTGAGATCCGCGTCGGCCTCCTCACGTCTGTGGCTGGTCACCCCCCATCAGCCACGGAATCACGAAGGAAACCTGTAATCTCGCCACCAACCGTGTAGGGCCTGAGTCCAAGGACACGCATACCCTCCGTGCAGCCTCGTGGCTCCGTTAACTTCCCCGTGACCTTCTCAGGACGAAGCCTCACCATGACTGACCACCTCCCTGGGCGAGTTCAGAGGTGGTAACCTGGTGCTGGGTGTTGTGTGACCGCCCAGATGGCAGCATCCAGGGCCACCAGGGCCTGAGAGCCCCCGGGACCCCTCCCAGCCCCGCTCACACCGGTCATCACCTATGGGTGAGCTAGTCGGTGGCTGTGGCAGCATCGGGGGGGCTGTTAGATTTCTTTCAGCTTTTGAGCTCCCCCACCCCCCAAAAAAGTGTCCAAATTTCCCCTCCTCAGTTGGCCAGTGACCAGCACCTTCGGCAGATGTAGGGCCGCGGGGACATGCTGCTGAGCTGGGGGCATCCGTGGGTTCACCGGCCTCACGGCAGGGCCTCCGCCGGTCCTAGCGCCCAGGGCCTCAGTTTCCCCACAGCTGTGTTTCCCCGTGTACCTCAATGCGTGTGTTGTCTGCTGCTCTGGGCCGGCCCAGTGAAAGGAGCCTCCAGACAGGGCGCCAGGTGTGTGTGAATCACGGACGCGCTCGGGGTCCAGAGTGTGTAGACCAGGGGTCCTCAAACTACGGCCCGCGGGCCGGTGGGTTCACCGGCCTCACGGCAGGGCCTCCGCCCGTCCTAGCGCCCAAGGCCTCAGTTTCCCCACAGCTGTGTTTCCCCGTGAACCTCAGTGCATGTGTTGACTGCTGTTCTGGGCCGGCCCAGTGAAAGGAGCCTCCAGACGGGGCGCCAGGTGTGTGTGAATCACGGATGCGCTCGGGGTCCAGAGTGTGTAGATGAATATAGATGTGTGTGTGTGTGTGTGTGTGTGTGTGTGATAGATGTGTGTGTGTGTGTGGTTGTTTTTCATTTTTTCATTATTTGCTCCGTTGCACTTAAGTCACATTTTCCTATCCTCCGATCCAAGCTCTAAAAGCATTTTGTGGTCTAAAATCTCCCATCATCTGACCCACTCTACCGAAATAAGCCAGCTCCCTGCCGTCATCGGCCTCGGAAAGTGCCCCTTCGTCATGCTCAGGGGGGCTGGCAGGGAGGGGCCGTGCCCGCTGAAGCGCTCCACGATAATCCCCCAGCGCCCCCGGCCTCTGCGCTCCCTGGGGCCGCTCCGGTTTCTGGGCTGTTATTACTGGAATGCCAGCTGCCCCACTTCCAGCCCATCCCACAGACCCGCTCTGTCTGCCCGGGGCCTCGGGCCTCCGCTGAGCTCATCTCGTAGAAATATCATTTTAAAAATAAATGCTGGTTCGATCCGCACTTCCCTCTCGCCTCCGCCGTGTCTCCTGGCCGCCTCCACTGGGCACCGGAGGGTCCGTTCAGGCTGCCCTCTCCCAGAGTCCTCCAGTGGCCAAGTGTCATGCTGGCCGGCCCCCCAGGGGTGCCTTCCAGGCAGGCCCAGGGGCCCCCTTGGGCTGCCCAGCATGTGGGGGCGCGTGAGAGCTCTGGAGGCAGACAGACTCGGCCCTACTGCACACTTACTGTGTGGCCTTGGACAGGTGATCACCCTCTCTGGGCCACATGGGTCCATGAATGAAGAGGTGCCTCCCCCAGGCACCCGGGGTGGAGGGTGGTATTGGTTCTTGTGAACAGCATAAGGTTTGTTTGCAAGAGGGAAATGCATTTAAAGTTCTCCTGCAAACCTTCTGTGAACTTTTCTTTTCCATCGTGCATTCTCTGATTCTCTTTTGGCACCAAAAAGCAACTCATAGGTTGGTCAGAAAATTCCGAGTCGCACAGTTTCGACATCCTCACAGCGAAGGGAGGAAGTCAGCTGAGGGCACGTTTCGTGCCTGAGAGGCAGCCGTGCAGGGTTCCGAGACAGATTCCACAAAGTTTTGTGTCCCTGTGCGGCCACTAGTCACTGTGGCTTTTAGACAAGTGATTTGGTCTCTCTGTGCCTCGGTTTCCTTGGCTATAAAGTAGGCATAAGAATTCTACTTAGCTGATCGGGTTGACCGGGGGTTCCGTGATGGGAGGCATGAACCCCCCCGGACCGTGCCCGGCACAGGGAAGGCGCGGTGTAAGCGCTGTCTGTTTTGTTGTGGCCGTCATGTGGCAGGAAGTTCCGGAGTACAGACATACAGGTGACATTCATGATCATCCCCCTACTGTAGCAGTTCTTAATCGGGAGCAGCTTTGAGCTCCAGGGGACATTGGACAATGTCTGGAGACATTTTAGTTGTCACAACAGGGAGAAGTTACCCCCGGCATCTTGTGGGTGGAGGCCCGGGATGGTACCAAATATCCTTCCGTCACCCCCTCACGGTGACTTATCCGGTCCCAAAAGTAAATAGTGCCCCGAGCCACTCCGCTGAATAGGAGCTTTCTGGTAGCACCACCGGCCCCCTCCTCTGTTGCACGTGGCCTTGGTTATAATTTTGCATTTATCGTTATGATTATTTGATGACTACCCATCCCACTGGTCGCGTGCAAACTTGTGAGAGAGAGAGATGTGTTTCTCGCTGCGGTCCATCCAGGGCACTGCTGCCTCTGCAGCCCACCCCAGGTCTCAGTCACAGGCAGCGCTGCACCGGGACCTGTCAGACACAGGTTCAAGTCCCAGGACTGCCACTTGCTGGCTGTGTGACCTTGGGCCAGTGCTGGCACTTTTCTGAACCTCCTTTCCTTCATCTGCAAGTGGGATTGTAAATCGCTGATCAATTAGGGAAGACCACAGGCTCCAGGGTCCAGCCATACCTGAGTTCAAGTCACAGCGCAGTTACCTAACTAAGCCTCAGTTTCCTCGCCTGTGAAATGGGTCCACTAATCCCCTTCCTCGCTCAGAAGGTTCACATGGGAATTTAAGGAGCTGCCGCTGATCACTTTTATTATTAGTATTAACTTCATCATCCAACAGGTGGGCTTTTGGAGCCCTGAGTGTGTTCCAGACCCCGCTGATTGCCGTGGGGAGGGTGTAATGGGGCAGAGCGACTGTGCTTGCCGAGCTCATTGCCTTGTGATGTGGACGGGGACTGGCCCGGCACTCCCTGCAGCACTGACCTCTGACCTCCCCCGCTTTCAGATCTGTGCCATCATCGGCGGGACCTTCACGGTAGCTGGCATTCTGGACTCGTGTATCTTCACAGCCTCGGAGGCCTGGAAGAAGATCCAGCTGGGCAAGATGCACTGACCACCTGCCCGCCCGGCCTCTTGCGCCCCGTCTCCTCCTGCCCTCTGTCTGGCCCAGGATCTGGCTGCATCCCAAAGTGGGGGTGGGGGGAGGTAGCAGGTGGCTCATGGTTCCGCAGCTACCTCTCTTCCCCGTGCTTAACGTCAGACGAATTACGCTGCCTGAAGTTGTGGTGCCCTTTCCCCTGGGGACCCCCAAGACCAGAGTCAGGCAAGGGGTGCTCGGGGATATTGGGGACCACTCCTGGGAGGGCTGTGGGACCAGCCCAGAGTCCCTGTCGACCAGCTCTCAGCCAGGCTTTGACAATCTCTCAGCCCCCACCTCTGGAACGCACGAATCCCTTGGTTTCCCCCTTGGGCAGCCACCCACAGACCTGGACTCGGCTCTGGACCAGGCTGCCCAGAGGTACCCCCCACCTGGCGCCTTCAACAAAGGATGGTACTTCCCAGGCAGGCCCCTGAGATGCGGCGCTTCAGGGGGAGGCCTGGCGCCGGCCGCATCCTCTCCTGCCTGGCCCAGAGCCCAGGCCGCGAGGCCTCACCCCCACGCCTTTCTTTCTCTCCCGAGAAGCAGATGCCCAGTCACGGAGCGGTGGTGGGTCCCCTTCCTCGGTTCACCTTGTCCCTCTGGACCCCCCCCCACCACCACCAATGTGCCTCAGCCCCCTGCTGTGTGACAGCAGCATCTCCAGGCGGAGGGGCTGGTTGTGACTGGGAATCATCCTTCGAGAACCAGACAGGGTTTGTGCACTATGTCAGGCGGGGAGCCCCTTTCTCTGCGGCCCTAAAACAATCATGCCTCGGCCTCTCCCAGCGGCTGCCATCAGTCCCAAGGCCTTAGGTGGGGGAAGCAACGCTGACCCACCCCTCCCCCGTCTGGACAGCCACCTCCTGGCTCCCGAGGGGCGCCGGCCCCCCGGCCCTCTCTGCAGCCCTCAGTTTAGGCCCCTCGCCACTGAGCTTCCCAGGGGCTGGCCACACACCAGCACGTTCCTGGTCCCTGAGGCGGCTCCATTGTCCCGCCACTTGCTCCTGAGGTGGGTCCCTACCCCTTCCTCCCCCCTCATCCTTCCCCTTTAGTCCTCAAAGGGAGGCGCAGGGGTCCAGGCGCATGTCCACCCGGGAATTTCAGGTATGCCCTGTCCCAGGGAGAGCCGCCGGCTTCCCATTTGGATCAAAATTGTTTGCATACTTTTGTAATTAAGGGGCGTGCCGGGGAAGGAGTTGTAACTTATCTGTCTAGATAGCTTGAGTCTCTGCCATTGGTAATTGTTGGCTCCGGATTCCAGTAGGACAACTTCCCCGCTTGCATATGTGTTGACTGATGTGCATTTGGTTATTTCTGGTATCTCTGGCCACTTAGATGGATTTTTTTTTTTACATTCTGTTCCCCAGTGACAAAAAGAGTCCCTTTAGAGGGTGGGCGGGTAAGGCGAGGAAATGTGTGGGGTGCACAGGCCTCGAAATTCCACTTCGATGCATTTAAAGAAACAAAACTCTTGAGGACGTAGGGGATGTCAGTTTCCTATGGAAGACACACCTCAGACCCATTATTATAAACAGACATCTCAAGGGGGGAAAAATGTGTCCGTTCTTTCCCCACTCATTGGGTTCAAATAGATTAAAGGGCTGATTTTCAGAAGGGTTGCAGTGTGTTTCTTTCTACTAGACGGTGGCTGGCAGCCCGGGGGCTCGGGCCCAGGAGGGAATTTAAATCCAGGGGAGGGGAATTGGGAAATGCGGAAAAGATCTGTGAGGATGATCAGAAGTCACCCTCCGGACCCAGCGCTTCCTGTATGGAGTCCCCCCAGGACGTTCCCGGAATCTGCCCTTCGCTAGCCGCGTAGCCTCCTTCCCCTGCCAGTGCCTCAGTTTGCCCAGGTGGAAATGGGGCTAACAGTGACACAACCTTGTGGGACTGTGGCAGAAATTAAATCTGCAGTATGTGCACGTCAGTTATCCTGGGTCGGAACCAGCTCATGTATGCAGGCAAGTAGTACCCGGTGGCTTTTCAAAAAACGGTAGTAGATCCATATCGGTATTCCCAAGGGAATGCCATGTCCTGGGAGCAGGGCCGACACTCCCCCACGGCTTCCAGCCGAGGGTGCACAAAGGAAGGCGTTTCATACGTTCTCGATTTCCAAGGACCTGGCATTCCCGGTTCAACCTTCAGCTCAGCAAGAGACCATCATCAGCTCTGACAAAGGGACTGACTTAATGGCTGTGTGCCATCCTGCTGGCCAGCCCTCAGGGTCTCCGCTGGGACAGCACGAACGTGGACAAACACGTCAGGGCCACACATCAATTTTTGGTTCTTGCCAGAAACAGACACATTTTGTCGATGTGGTGGGTCACCGGTGACCCCCATCCCTTCTGAAGAAACTGGCCCCAGCAGCTCCAGCCCTCCAGGCGGCAGGAGGTCCGGAATGGGAGGGGACTGTAAGGAGGGCTACGTTCAAGTTCACTCAGACCTTGTTCCCTCCCCAGCAGTTGCCTTCTGTCAGTTGGTGACCCCCATCCCTTCTGAAGAAACTGGCCCAAACAGCTCCAGCCCTCCACGCGGCAGGAGGTCCGGGGTGGGAGGGGACTGTAAGGAGGGCTACATTCACGTTCACCCGAGACCTTGTTCCCTCCCCAGCAGTTGCCTTCTGTCAGTTTCCTAGTGATGAGGTCACGCACTTCATTCTGACCCAAATAACGTTTTATGGTAACTCTTGTTACCGGAGGTTGGGAGTCCGCCACGGGCCAGGCAAGCGGTGGTGGTTCAGGCCTCGCCTGTCCTAACCCTCACGGCAGTCCTATGAGGGTGTTAGGCCTTTTTAGGAAGGAAGAGGTTGGGAGTTCGCCCAGGCCAGACAAGCAGTGGTTGTTCAGGCCTTGCCTGTCTTCACCCTCAAGGCAGTCCTATGAGGGTGTTAGGCCTTTTTAGGAAGGACAGCACAGAGATGTAGCCACTGCCTCTCCGGCCACACAGCTGGCAGGGGCTGCGGTGGGAATGCACACCCACGTCCTCCTGAGTCCAGGCTGACGAAGAATTGCATGGCTCCACCTCAGTTCCCCAAGAGCCGATCTGTGTCAAAAGGGAAAAATGCCCCCCCACCCCCACCCCCCAAAAAAAGGGAATATTGAAAGTAGTGAGGGTACTTTTGTTTTTGTTTTTGTTTTTTCCTTCCTGCAGAGGAAAGCTAAATTGAGCACTGAGGATTTCCTTAAACAAAAATTTTAAACATGAGTTTAATGACACAAGTAATACATGTTCATAGCCCCGTTGGAGGAAAATCAGAAAAGAGCAAAAAGTTAAAAAGGAGACACAAAGGTCACCCCTAATCCCAGTAATCAGAGGTCATCACTGTCAGCATTTTAACGATATTCTTCCATAAACAACACGGGGTCGTGCTGTTGATACTATTTTGTAGTTTGCTTTTCCCTCATTAGTAGGCACCTTTCTATGTGAGTAAGGATAGATCTCATCATCTTTATTGGCTGCAAGGTAACGACCATATTGAATACATATGCCGGGTCATGTTCACCCACCACTCCTATCTCATTCAGAACCTGCTTTCTCCCCTGTAAAAGGGACAGCTCAGAGGGTTGTTTACAGATGAAATAAGGGAATGTCTGTAAAGCTGTTAGCACAACACCTGACAGTAAATGCTCAGCCTAATAAAACTAGCCTGTACTATTCATTCATCTCATAAACAGTAATTTCTATCAGTATTTAGTGCTAACTTTGTGCCAAGCATTGTGCTAAGGGTTTGTTTCATCCTGACACCTAACCAATGAGGTAAATACTATCAATAGTCCCATTTCTCAGATGGGAAAGTGAGTGGCCAAGTGTCCGAGTTGGCCTTTCTGGAGGCGTTTGGAGGTTATAAAACAAAGAGACACCACACCAGGGCTCCCCCAGCGTGGTGCATCGCATGTGTTTACATCAAACACAGAAAACTTACGGTTTGCATCATCTAGAGTTAATCGGGGAAGTCTGAATGTGAGGCCCGGTTTGGGACTTTCTGGGAGATTAGGAATATTGATGACTGTAATTGAGCACTGTGTGCCAGACACTGCCCTGAACACTGTAAACGAATTAACTCATTTAGTCCTCATAATAACTCCACGAGGCACTTGCTAAGATCATTCCCATTTCATAGATGAGGAAACTGAGGCTCAGAAACATGGAGGCGGCTCCCCAAGGGCCAGCAACATGAAGAGGCACTTGGGTCAAGGTCTGACTGTTACAACCCCGGCTCTTCCGAACAGGGCTAAAAAATCGGGGGGAAGTTTTGCAAAGCCAGGTGGTTGGTTAGCCACGATCCTCAAACATCCGGTGGGGGGAGTGCTTGCTTTAAATTCAGATTCCCTGACCCCCAACCTACAACTGTCTGGTTTTGCTGGACTGTGGTGGAGCATGAAAATCTGTATTATGAACAGGTTTCTCGATGATTTTAAGAATCAAGTCAGCAAATGGCATTTGAAGCATCATGACTTTAAAAGCACCCCAATAATAAGCCTAGACAACTTCTGCAAAGAAAGCGTTTGGGGTAAGAAAAAGACTATTGACGGTGTACCTGTTAAAAGAACATCAAGCCCAACTGGCATGGCTCTGTGGTTGAGCTTCAACCTATGAACCAATAAAAAATATATTTAAAAATAAATCAAAGGACATCAATAAGCATACATTGGGAGAAACCAAGATGGCGGCATAGGTAAACACCGGAGATTGCTACCGCAAACAACCACTTCAAAAATACAACTAAAAGACGGAACGGACATCACCCAGAACCACAGGAAGGCTGGCTGAGGAGAGACTCTTCAACTAGAAGGAAAAATAACTGCACACCGAGGCTCAGAGGAGGCGCAGTGTGGAAAATACTCAGGTGCGGAGGTGCGCGCGCAAAGCGGGCTGGTGGCTGAGAGCGCGGTTGTCGTTTTCGGTCAGGGGGGAGTCTCAGACTCTGAGCTCCAGATACGGGCGAATCGCTGGGGACTCGGACCCAAACGGGAGAAGCGGGAGTGTCTGGCATCAGTTGGAAGGCAGCTTTCCCTCCGAGGTTTGCAGCGGTTCCGGGGGTTCTGAGAAGCAGAGCCTCTGG